GAGTCCAGGGGAAATGGAGGATTGGGGGTGCCCTGGGAATAGGAACCAGGGAAGACTTTGTTACAAAGATCCTTGTATGGGATAAGACTTGAAACAACTTTGCTCCTGCTTTCTTCATGGGGATATGAGGAAGCATGAACCAGGCAACCAAAAATGGCAAAAGCCCGTGTAGGTGGATGTTAATCCTAGAGGGGAAAAGTTACTTCAACAGTTAAAGTCTCACAGGATTTAAGTGCCTAGTGCTTAAGTACCATCCTAAGAGCGCTGTAAGCACGCAGGCTCGGAGCGGTTAAGTGTGGAGCCCAAGTTCACATAGACGTGGGCAGTGGAGGCGGTAATGGGGTCTCCTCCTAACGGTTCCTCCCTAAACAGCACCACCTGTAGCGTCCACTTCTTCCAGAAAAGACAGGACCGTGGGTTCGGGAAAGCCGCTTTGGATAAGCGTCTGTGCCACCAAACGTCACCGCAAGAGAGTGTGGGAAGGAGTCTAGGGACGCGGAGTCCGGGAGCGCGGCTGGGCCCCCTCGCGGCCCCAGCGCTGGCCTCGGCAGGCTCCGGAGCGCGTCCCTGGCCCGCCCGCACACCCGCTCTCTCCACCCTCCGCGGCGTGCGGGGAAGCCTCGCGCTGGGGTCTTCCTCAGCGAGACTCTATCTCGGTCCTCGGTCCTCCGACAAAGTCAACGGTCGTAGACTCCCTTCCCACTCCAACCGTGTGTGGTTCTCAAACAGCGACTTCTCTGCTCGGGTGCCAGCCCCCACAGCCGCCACTCTCCGACCCCCGCCCACTACCCCCACTACGGCTCCCGGGCCGCCGTACCTGTGAAGCCGAGGCCCTGGAGGCCGAAGTGAGCCACGCGCAGCCCCTGCGCAGGCTGCTGAAGGCATAGCGGGTAGAGACTCACGCTCAGGTAGGCGGGCAGCCAAGTCGCCGGGCACACCCAGGGCAGAACCGGGACAGGAGACTGGGAGGGAGCGGTCCAGAGACCCGGGAAGACGCACGCGGAGCCTGACAGCTGGGAGACAGCCGGCACGCGGGGGTCCGGCCTCGCCAGGATGGCCTCGACGGAGAAGGACTCCAGGCGTCCTGGAGCGCGGGGCGCGCCGGGGCCCGCGGGGCGGTGCAGGAGCTCGGGGTACCCGGGCGCTGGAGAGCTGCCAGAGCGCGGGGGCTGGACCCCGGCTCCCAAAGGAAGGGGCGGCCGGTTGCCTCGCGGCCCGGGGCTGTGCATGGCGTGGCCTTCGTCAGGACCGGCGCAGGGAGGGGAGCCAGAGGCCTCTGGGGCTGTGTGGGGAGCTGGGGAGGCGAGTGAGAAGACCCTGCAAAAGGCAGCGAGTAAGCCTTGTTGCTCAGGAACCGCCCCGCTCTCAGTGAGGGCTCTTAAATTTGGCGGGGCGGGGCGTCGGCCGACCTTTTCTTCCTGCGCCCCAGGCTGGGCCTCCGAAGTCTTGCTCGCCTCGCAGCCCCGGCCCACGCCCACCCCTGGGTGAGGCAAGGTGGGTACATCGCCAAGGAGTGTGCTCCCTCCCTTCCTCTGCTTTTAAAATGCCCACCCTGGGGCTGTCGGGGAAAGACCCTGAGCTAGCGGGTGATCCTGGGCTAACCACCCAGGGAGCCACTGGGAGCCGTCTTTGCCTCTGGTCACTGGAGCAGCTGTACCCCTCCCCTCCCCGCCCTGCTGGGGCGGAGCTGCCACCTGAAGAGAGGTAGCGCGTCTGCCTCAGCTGATCTGTGCCGCCTTTGAAGCTGAAACTCGGGAGGCTGAGGCAGAAGGATCGCTTGAGCCCGGGAGTTTGAAGTTGCTGTGAGCTGGGCTGATGCCATGGCACTCTAGTCCGGGCAACAGAGTGAGACTCTGTCTCAAAAAAAAAAAAAAAAAAAATCATTCGTTGCGTGGGTGCAGGGCAGGCATTTGTGTCCAGTTTTACAGATGGATAATCAGCCCTGTACTTACCAGCTGTTGTCCTTGGGCAAGTTACAAGCTACTGTTTGTCTTTCCTCACCTATAATAGTTGCCACCTCATGGGGTAGTGAGGATTAAAGGAGTCAATGCTCGCACGAGGTGCCCTTAGAATTGGCCTGGCACACGGTGATAACCACGCAGTGATTATGGGCTCCCATCGCGTTCTGCATTCCCAAATTGATGCGTAACTCTGAAACTATCTATTCAGGATGAGGGTGATTCCATGTCATTTTCGATAGGGATCCACTGTTTGGAAACAAACACACCTCCTTTTTATCCGCCAGCTAGGGGTGGGTGGACACCGCAGGCTCTGCCTCCTCCCCCTTCAGCAAATACAAGCCCTGCCCTCTGGGCAGCTATGCAAGCGGCCTGGAAAGTGAGATTGTCTCAGGGTGACAAGAAGGTCCTAGACCTATGCTTATCGTGTTCCCACCAGGGCGTGCTGGGTCAAAGATGAAAGAAGACAAATCTGGGAAGGGGCGTGGCTGGGATGCCAACCGGGAAGAAAGTAAGGTCAGATTCACCCAGAGTTGGGGGGTCCGGTGAAAGTCTCAAATCCTACACACAGCACTCTGCCTCTCAACGGGTTCCTTTTTGAGGTGCTGTTCCTCCAGAGGGAGAGGCAGTGCAACCCCAAGGATCCACTCAGACCCAGACATCAGTGACAAGATGCCAACAGCATGCCTTGTGAAGAGGGACTCTTGGGGACCCATGTTTTCGGGCCCACAAAGATGACATCTTCTGCTGTTGGGGGACACTGAGGCACATGACTGAAAATGTGGGTTCTGGAATTGGGCAAACTTAGCTTCAGCCCAGCATCACTGAACATTTCTGTGACCTGGGATAAGTGGCTTATTCACTCTTAAACCTCATTTTCCTGTAAAATATGAATGATCTCTTAGGTGAGAAAGTAATACCTGATGGGATTGTTACAAGAATTAAGTGAGGTTATGTTTTTAGCTAAGTGTTTTAAGCTCAGTGGTATTTATTATGGGGAGAGAAGCTATTGGCAATGGCAGATGAGCTGGACTAAGCTTCTAAAAAGGGCGCAGTGAAAGATAGTATGGGGCCAGATATTTAGGAGCAAATTAAAGTGTCGGATCTATGTCCCTCTATGAACTGAGACTCTCAATGGGTTAATCTGGCTGCAGCATGTACCCTGGAAAAGGCGGAGGTGACAAGGAACAAGACAAAACTTGCAACATGGAAAATTTGCGAATATTTTGGTACATCTATTTATGCTGCTTTGAGGGTAAAAAAATATGGTCACTGTATCTCTAGCTCTGGATTTTCAGTATGTAATTCACTGCTTCAGTA